GATCCTTCTGTGCGACTGAGCTCCTCACCCCATCTCCATGGGCTCAGCTGTAAGGGAGCTCCACTCTGGTGAGGAAGTTCATGTGGACCGCTTGTATCCACAATCTCGTATTCATAACCAGAGGTGAGGGAGGGGAAGAACACTGAACAGAAAAAGTGATTTTGGTATTGCCTTTGAAAAACCAGATATGATAATGATAAACCTTGATTTGCAGGGGAAACTTCAGCTTGCCTCAACAGCCATCTTGGCAACCTCAGCACCTGCTTTAAAGTGCAAAACTCACATCATAGAAGAAATGCTCATAACGGTATTTGGGTCCAGTTAGCATATGTTCAAATCAGCTTCTTCCACATTTAGGCTAACGTTATGGTGATGTCGCAGCCTAAACCTTCTTGTTGGGAAATTGCATAGATGGATGCAAAAATAAACTTAAGATAGATAAAGATACTTGGTTCAAACAGTATTTCTAAAAACAAGGAATCCATCCATGCACTTCTATGAACCTTTGAAATTACTTGAAACTCTTAGTGAGAAGTTGATTCCACAAGAAAAATACTTTTTGTATCTTAGCATCTTTTTTTTTTTTAATATAATATAGCGTGTTTTAAAGAACAGACCACAAGAACATCTTCATCTGATCAATTCAATTCAATTTATTTCTGTGTATCCCTAAATCACAACAGCAGTTGTCTCGGAGGACTTTACAAAGTAGATTCACCAATAACAGATCAGAGAATCAAAGAGACTAGAGAGAGACCAGAGAGAGACCAGAGAGAGACCAGAAAGAGACCAGAGAGAGACCAGAGAGAGAGACCAGAGAGAGACCAGAGAGAGACCAGAGAGAGACCAGAGAGAGACCAGAGAGAGACCAGAGAGAGAGACCAGAGAGAGACCAGAGAGAGGCCAGAGAGAGACCAGAGAGAGACCAGAGAGAGACCAGAGAGAGACCAGAGAGAGAGACCAGAGAGAGACCAGAGAGAGACCAGAGAGAGACCAGAGAGAGACCAGAGAGAGTCCGGAGAGAGACCAGAGAGAGACCAGAGAGAGAACAGAGAGAGACCAGAGAGAGACCAGAGAGAGACCAGAGAGAGACCAGAGAGAGACCAGAGAGAGAGACCAGAGAGAGAGACCAGAGAGAGACCAGAGAGAGACCAGAGAGAGACCAGAGAGAGAAAAGAGGGAAAACGGAGGGAAACCAGTGAGACCAGGAGAGAACAAAGGGAAACCAGAGAGAGACCAGAGACAGACCAGAGAGAGACCAGATAGAGAAAATCGATCGCAACAAACCATAAGAGCAGTCTTTTCAGAGTACTTTACAACGTTTTTGATTCGCCGACAGCAGATCTGAGAATCAAACCGTTCAAAGCCAGAATCCGTGAGAAACATTCCAAACCGCACATAAAGCAGGACATTAAAACATCAGACTAACTTGTCAGCCGTGGTGCGTTCTGCGTTCGGATCATATCATTTCCATTATCGCTCGATGCGGACCCGTCTTAATCTCATCATAGACGCGGCTCAAAACACAATACGTGCGCGTCAGACTAATGAAATCTGCGGCTGTCATCGCCAAAGGCCAAGAGAATACAAACACGCGCACGTTTACAAGAGCGTCTTTAATTTACAACATTTACATACCCCACAGGAGCCGCGCCAGTCAGACGCTGAAGAGGAGCGGACGCATCAACCCAGCGCGCCGAGAGCTTAGCGCGTGACTGAGGCGCACGTGAACGGTGATACAACTGACGGGCAGAAGGTATGTAACTGTATAAATGCATCTGGAGGAGCTGCCATCATTTATAGATGGGAGTAAAGTTGGTGCAAATGGTCAAATCAAGGAGAACACCTGCAACCAGGGGCGAGGGCGGCACAGTGGCTGGTGCTCTTGCTTCTCAGCATGAAGAGGCTCTCTGGTCTCTCTCTTTCTGCTCTCTTTCTGGTCCCTCTCTGGTTCCTCTCTATGGTCATTCTCTCTCGCTAGTCCCTCTTGCTGGTCACTCTCTCTCTCTCTCTCCGGTCACTCATTCCCTCTGGTGTCTTTCTCTCTCTGGTCTCTTGCTCTCTTTCTCTCTCTGGTCACTCTCTCTCTGGTCTCTCTCTCTACTCTCTCTGTCTCTGGTAAACCTCTCTCTCACTGGTCCCTCTCTCTCTCTGGTACCTCTCTCTCTCTGGTCTCTCTCTCTACTCTCTCTGTCTCTGGTAAACCTCTCTCTCACTGGTCCCTCTCTCTCACTGGTCCCTCTCTCTCTCTGGTACCTCTCTCTCTCTGGTACCTCTCTTGTCTCGTTCAGGTTTCTGTGGTCTCCCACTCTCTCTCTGGTCTGGTCTCTCTGGTCTCTCTAGTCTCTCTGGTGACTCTCTGAGGCCTCTCTCTGGTCTCTCTCTCTGGTCTCTCTCTCTCTGGTCTCTCTTGCTCTCTTTCTCTCCATGATCACTCTCTCTCTGGTCTCTCTCTCTGGTCTCTCTCTCTGGTCTCTCTCTCTGGTCTCTCTCTGGTCTCTCTCTGGTCTCTCCCTGGTCTCTCTCTGGTCTCTCTCTGGTCTCTCTCTGGTCTCTCTCTGGTCTCTCTCTGGTCTCTCTCTGGTCTCTCTCTGGTCTCTCTCTGGTCTCTCTTTCTGGTCTCTCTCTCTGGTCTCTCTTATAACTGCTTCAGGAGGTTGCATTAAAGACACAGAGGTGTGAGCTTGTGGGTATGGACTGAGTAGAAGTGGGACTAAAGGGGGAGCATGATCGTTGGGTTTAGAGTGTTCTAAAAAAGTGAGAACAAGAAAAAGTGTCTCCAGGATTCACACCTGTCACTCTTCAGGCTGCTGGTACCACGGCGTATGGATTGTGTGAAAGAAAAGGCAGATGGGAAACACATGGAGCTGCTGTTGTCAGAGGAGGCTGAGCTGGCATAGGCTTAAAGGAGAAATTTTCTGCCAAAACCATCACGTTAAAACATGGTCCCCTCATTAGTCACCCACCTGGAGTTGTTTTTAGATCCACCCATGCTATCATTACGAACTTCTGTCTCTGTCCTGTAATTGTATGATGTCATCACTATTTCCGTTGCTAGCCATGCTACTTGGTCCTTCTCAGATTTCCACACATACATTGATGCCATTGGCCGTAAATTAGTGGACTGATAATTGAACTCATCAGTGGAATGAAGGAGAAGCTGATTTGAACATAAGCTAGCTGGAGCCAATTTCCCTAAATGGGGATTGGTTCAGGTGTCAGGTAGTTTTCGTGTTGCAGGGCAGGTGTTTTCGTGTTGCTAATGGTTAGGAAGGCAAGCTGGCGTTTTCCCGCAAATTAAGGCATCTGTTGGTCAATCCTTTAATGGAGGAACAAAAACCATATTTGAAATTGAAAAATGCCTGGATGATAAAAAACGCTGAACTAAGGATTTTTAAGCCCAAAATAGTGAGTGTGACGGAAACCATTACTGAGCTAGAGGAGTTTACTTTTCAATCTAAGTCCTTGGGAGCCAGCGCAAGTAGGAGGAAAACTCCGTCCATGAGCACTTCCATATAGGGCTTCGTTGAGCTTGCCGGTTAGCCTTGTTCATCTATGTCTATGGTTGATACATGGTCTATGGTTCCCAAAGAGGGGGATATAATTTACAGATTTTTATTTTAATATTTGAAATTAGACCAATGATACAAAAAAATCCAATTAAAATTAACAATTAAAAAACCAAATTGAGTATGATTTTTCTTAGTGTTAATACCAACGTCAATTACTTTTCACAGTGGGGGTCCCAGGTCGGGTGCATGGTTCTATCCCACTTTCTCAACAAAGGAAGGACCTGCGCACATGGACCATTTTGTAGAGCATGTGTTGAAATGGACTTTAAAAGAGGAAAATCGAAAGACTGTGAAGTCGTTGAGATTCATGTGACATCACAACACACAAAGAGCCTATATTTTAAAATAGTCGCTCCGGTCTAACTCTGGTCTAACTCTGGTCTAACTCTGGTCTAACTCTGGTCTAACTCTGGTCTAACTCTGGTCTAACTCTGGTCTAACTCTGGTCTAACTCTGGTCTAACTCGGGTCTCTCTCGGGTCTCTCTCGGGTCTCTCTCGGGTCTCTCTCTCTGGTGTCTCACTATGGTCTCTCTCTTTCTGGTCTCTCTCTATCTGGTGTCTACTCTACAATCTCTCCGGTCTCTCTCTCCGGTCTCTCTCTCTGGTCTCTCTCTCTGGTCTCTCTCTCTCTGGTCTCTCTCTCTCTGGTCTCTCTCTCCGGTCTCTTTCTCTCCGTTCTTTCTCTCTCCGTTCTCTCGCTCCCGTCTCTCGCTCCCGTCTCTCGCTCCCGTCTCTCGCTCCCGTCTCTCGCTCCCGTCTCTCGCTCCCGTCTCTCGCTCCCGTCTCTCGCTCCCGTCTCTCTCTCCCGTCTCTCTCTCCCGTCTCTCTCTCCCGTCTCTCGCTCCCGTCTCTCGCTCCCGTCTCTCGCTCCCGTCTCTCGCTCCCGTCTCTCGCTCCCGTCTCTCGCTCCCGTCTCTCGCTCCCGTCTCTCTCTCTCTCTCCCGTCTCTCGCTCCCGTCTCTCGTCCGCTCCCGTCTCTCGCTCCCGTCTCTCCGTCCTCCTCTCCCGTCTCTCTCTCCGTCCTCTCTCTCCCGTCTCTCTCTCCCGTCTCTCTCTCCCGTCTCTCTCTCCGTCTCTCGCTCCCGTCTCCCGTCTCTCTCCCGTCTCTCTCTCCCGTCTCTCTCTCCCGTCTCTCTCTCCCGTCTCTCTCTCCCGTCTCTCGCTCCCGTCTCTCGCTCCCGTCTCTCGCTCCCGTCTCTCGCTCCCGTCTCTCGCTCCCGTCTCTCGCTCCCGTCTCTCTCTCCCAGACCAGTAGAAATTACTTCCAGATGTGAGATTAAAATGGCAGCTATAGGAATGTAAATACTGAAACTCACATCTACAACACAAACACAACCTCCCACATGAGATAAAGTCATCCTATCTCTAACACTACATCCCTTTACACTGACGGGGAAAACTTGATATTTATAAACAGTTGCAGTTACCTGTAAGTAGGTAATTCTGTTCTGGACCAAGTCGGACACATCTTTGGCCTCCTTGGCTCTCCAGTCGCCCACTCCGTCGGCCTGGCTGAGGTAGTACAAGTCTGTCATGATGGATCTGCAAACACAGAGACAACTTTCACTCAACAAAAAATAATTAAGCAAGTACAGTATGTCCATCTAACACACCTTTTGTTACATCATGTGCATTTAAATACCAGAGAGGAGCTTTCTCCCGTACAAAAGTTCTATTTTCAGCAGACTCTCGAGCAGACTTGGAGATTTTTGTCCTGCATTTGCCTCCAGTAGGTTAGACTACTGTAATGGCCTTCTCATTGGTCTCTCCAAACGAGCAGTAAAACAGCTGCAGTATTTTCAAAACACTGCATTTCAAGTCCTGACTAGAACCAGGAAGTACCACCACATTAGTCCAGTTCTCAAGTCTCTGCACTGGCTTTCTGTGGCTCAGAGAATAGACTTTAAAGCAGCTCGGCCTCTCCATGGGCTTACACAAACGTATGGATAAGGATGGACCAATCAGATGTCTTCATTTGCGGGGGAAACCTCAGCGTGTCTTAGCAACCGCATTAGCAACGCATCTACCCCCGTTACAAAACAAAGCTAACCCCTCGCTCACAATATGTTCAAATTAGCCTCTTCACAATAAGGCAAATACTAGGGTAAGAAAGTAAGTAATCTTTATTCATATAGCGTATGTTTTTTTACAGGCCAAGGTCACCCAAAAGCGTTTTACAAAGAGTTCAGAGTTCAGATAATGAGTAACATCAGAACTCATTCCACTCCTTATACGGTCATGAGCTTTACCAGGATCCACAAACAAAAAGCCTCTCCAAAAAGATCCATTTCCAACCAGACAAACACAACTATTGTTCACAAAATATGTTTATACGAATTGAGAAAATCACCTGCTGGAAGTCAATCATTTCCAAAGGAACCAAACCCAAAAGACATAACTCTCTGACCTTATTAATAAAACATTTCCAATTTCAAAAGCGCCGTCAACCATCCTGCACTTGAGGAGTTAATCACTGCCGTGTGTTTAGAGGAACTATTTATTTCTCTCCACATTTGGCGAAAATTGCCTGTGTGCGTTAGAATGATGGCAGATTCACCCGGGGGACGTGTTTGAAACAGGTTTTACGGTCCGGGCGTTCGCATATCATCAAAAACACACAGGCTGTCACTAGCGCGCTCACAGCCTTAATGAGCGCAACATCTGGGCTCAATCTTCCAGCCGTTATAAATGGTGCGGCAGACGTGTCGACCGTTTAAAAGCACAACGTGCAGATATGAGGTTATTCCCACAGCAGCCATCAAATATCATCCAGTTTGGCTGTTTTTTAAAGACTATTTTGTGCACTTAAGCATCGTCAGTGTGATGTTCTGGACCGGCTTCCTGCGGCTCCGAGAATAGACTTTAAATTAGCTCTGCCTGGTCCAAGTACATCTGTGATATGTGAACCAACTGGGACTCTGAGGAGCACAGGGACTGGCCTCCAGCTGGGACTCTGAGGAGCACAGGGACTGGCCTCCTGCTGGGACTCTGAGGAGCACAGGGACTGGCCTCCTGCTGGGACTCTGGGGAGCACAGGGACTGGCCTCCTGCTGGGACTCTGGGGAGCACAGGGACTGGCCTCCTGCTGGGACTCTGGGGAGCACAGGGACTGGCCTCCTGCTGGGACTCTGGGGAGCACAGGGACTGGCCTCCTGCTGGGACTCTGGGGAGCACAGGGACTGGCCTCCTGCTGGTGCCCAGAGTCAGTTCTAAACATGAGGAGGCAGCTTTTCAGATTTTTGCAGCTGGAACAGTCTTCCTGAAAATGTGAGACAAGCTTCCACTTTGACAATGTATCTAGGTTAACAACGGTTCTGTTTTGCTGAAACAGAATGATTCTTCCCTCTTTTTAATGTACTGTGATTATTTATTTGAATGCCTTGTGTCATTTTAAAAGTTATTTTAATGTTTTGTAAAACACTTTGAGTTTCATGTGTGCTATGCAAATAAACTTACCTTTCCAATTCTGTAAAGAGGCCAAATATGTTCACATTTATGTATTAACATGTCACCAACAAGTGTGAAAGAAAGATGAAAGTATGAATATTCTGAATAAGTTCTAAATGATCTTATAATGAAAAAGACTTTCACGCATTTAAGGAGATGTGTTGGATCTCCATAAAACAGACACATGTGCTTTAAAGGGGGCGACAGTAGCTCAGTTGGTAGAGCATTGGCCTTAAGGCTAGAAGGTCGTGGGTTCAATTCCCACCTCTGCACCTTCTCCACCGACTCCCACTGATGACTGCTGTCGTTGTGTCCTTGGGCAAGACACTTAACCCCACTTTGCCCAAAAGCCCCCACTGAAAGATCAAGGCTATGCTCACAGTCAGAGAGCAGCCGTCCTCCTGTGGACTCACCACCTGCAGAGGGTCAGTGAGGGGCTGGTGCTATGAGACTTGGGTGGCATCTCTGATTGCCACCCCCCTGACCCAGAAATGGATTAAAGGGTAGAAAATGGATGGATGGATGGATGTGCTTTAAAACATCTATACGTGTGCTCAGATACAGGTCACATGTACTGTACACAGCATAAACTGGACTTATTATTACTAAAAATACAATAGAAATCATGTCCATAATATTTATGTTTACAGTTTTTTCCCAATCAGAGAACAGGATGAAGCCTTGAGAGGCACTGAATGAATTAATGCCAATGGGTTCCCATCGTGTGATATTTAGCTGGTTTTGGCTCCCTTTCATCTTTTTTAAGATTGATTTTATTTGTTATTTTTGGTATGGTTTAAAAGTTGGACACCCCAGTTTTAAGTTTGACAACAGCACTGGAATTGGCAGGAAATAATGGAAGAAATACCAGTGCCAGTATTCAACCACCAAGCACACAAAAAAAGCTTATTAACAAAGAGCTGTGAAAAAAGCTAACACGGGACTATTCTGATGCTCTTAAATCCTGAGTTCAGCCCAGAAGTCTCTAAAAATCACACCAATGCTTAAAAAACAGGACGAAAAAAAGACTTAAACGAGACATTTCCAAATATTCTGCAGCAGCTGCTTGGAATACAGATTTTTATCATGACCTACTTTTAACAGAAAGAACTTTAAATTGGTTCAGCATAGATTTCCCTTCGTTTTTTTTTGCGTCTACATCAACCCGCCCCAACATCCACGGAAAAATAAGCTCTCGATGCAGATGGGTGGATGCATCAGCGAGGAACGTCTTGCTATAAAGCCCAGTTTTGCTGATTAGCACTAATTACGTTTCATTTTTTCTCAGAGCTGCAGAACTGCCTGACATGTGGTGTAGGTGGTAACAGAGGCGCGTCGTACAGCTGAACTCCACATGGGCCTGAGATGTTCCCGATAAGTGTGGAAAAAACTGTTCTGTTATTAATAAGACATTAGCATATACTTAAAATAAGGTGTTCTGAATGTATTAGAGCAGCACATACCAAGTGGGCTCTATCATGTGTACAAAATGGTGTTTAAGGCCAACATGGTGAGCAAGAGGAGTTTACTTTTACATGTAAGTCAGACGGAGCCAGAGCTGGAGCCAAACTTACTCCATGAGCACTTCCCTGTTGGTTCACTGAGCTAGCGGGTCAATAATGTCACTCTGTACATTGGAATGCAGCATTAGATCATTATGGGCAGTGCTTCAATCCAATCCCACTTCAAATCAGTGTATTATTCTAAAAACTCACCGGTCTTTCCATACAATATAATACAATGACCATATAAGGGCATGTGGTCTGTGTGTCGTCCCTGTATAAATATCCACGCTGTATATTCTGTTTGTAGATGTGGTTCAGAGTCAGTGATTTAAACAGTGGATTTGAATACAGATGAAGCCTCCTCTGTATTCATAACGTGTTTAGGCGTTTATAAGGCCCTCGAGGACCTTGAGGAGCACCTGTCAGAAGTACTTTTTTGTGATCTGGGTGAAGCGGGGCACTCCCAGTTTCTGATTCAACCTCAATCAAACTTTATCTGAAGACCACTTTAAAATGTCAAAGTCAATACATCGAACCAAACCAAAGTTCAACCAATTTTAAACAATGTCTAAGTTTTATTAAGTTAAGATGGACATCACTATTATCCCTGTAGGTTAATGTGTCCTTTTTTGGCCCCTTTTTTATTTTTCAGCCTTTATGAGGCGCAGGGGTCGCTGTATGAACAGGGGTCAGTCTCCAGAGGTTGATGCTCTTGTTCAGGATCAGAGCTGGATTATTTTTATCTATTGTACATGTTATTAGTGGTAGGGGAAACCGGAGCACCTGGAGCACCTTGAGACCCTGTGTAACCTGTGCCAAGTCTTCTTTAGTTCTTTAGTCCCTCTTGGACCTGGTTCTATCCAGACCGAGCTAGTACTAAAGTGTTCTAACTGACAGTGATTGGTGCTGGAAATCATGGTTACCAAGGAAATACCAAGTTGGGTCGAGTCGCGTATAGTAGATCAGGGCTGGTGGAAACAGGTCTTTACTTTACTGTCTTCATAACAGGTCTAACTCAAAAAACATTTAGCTGTACCTTGATTCAAAAAATAGTTGAGACCTTTTCTTTCTTCATGTGCACTTTACGACCGTTATTTGGAACTTTTAGAATTATGTATTTATCTACAGTACAGACCAAACGTTTGGACACACTCTCATTAAAAAGTTATTATTTTCATGATTATGAAATTTGTAGATTCACACAGAAGGCATCAAAACTATGAATTTACTGAATGTATTATGAATTATGTACGTACTAAAATATTATCATTTTATTATTATTATATTCTCGGTTCTTCAAAGTAGCACTTTTTGCTCTGATTACTGCGTCGCACATTCTTGGCATTCTCTTGATGAGCTTCAAGAGGTAGTGACCTGAAATGGTCTCCAACAGTCTTGAAGGAGTTCCCATGATGCTTAGCGCTTGCTGGCCCTTTCGCCTTCACTCTGTGGTCCAGCTCACCCCAAAACCATCTGGATTGGGTTCAGGTCCGGTGACTGGAGGCCGGCTCATCTGGCCCAGCACCCATCACTCTCCTTATTGGTCAACCAGCCCTTACCCAGCCTGGTGCGGATCTAGTCAACAGTCAT